GCTCGTGGTTCACCACCTGCAGGCACCACCCATGGGCACTCACTTGCAGCTCTCAAACACCTGACATTTACTGTATATGGTTCTTCTGTTGAGAAGGCTGGCCATCCCTGCTATGTTTGAAGTGTATATTGGGAGAAAAATACATTTTACTAAGCCAACACAATGCAATCTTTTAAGGTTAACAATTCTCACAAAGAAAGAAGCTAAGCTAAAGTTCCTTGAAACCAGAATGCAACAGATCAAATTTATAAACAACTATTTCCAGTCATATAATATCTTAACAGTAAAATGTTTAATACAAAGGTAATGACTTCACTAGTACTTCAAGTTAGAAAACAAAGCCCAGTAGCAATTCACTTAGGCTGCACCCAGTATCTTTGTTAGGGCACAATTAAATGGCCTCTTGTCTTTGTCTGGGATGCCACAGAATTATTCAGAGTTTGGAAGCTGGGACCCTGAAGGTCAAGACTCTGCCTCACCTCCCTCTCAGCTGGTGCAGAAAGGACTATGCCAGCTGCTGCCTCTGAGAGACAAGGAGGGGCATTCTAGGGGAGGGGTGGAAACTGAGACCTTATGCTGATTCCTATCAGAACCCCAAGTTCCTTCCTGTATCTGCTCCCCACCCCCACTGTGTTTTATCTGGATGACTCTGAATAGGCTAGATAAAGTTCGTAACATGAGTCAGTTTTGAAAACCACACCTTATCCGATGCATAGGATGCATGTATACCTCTGAGTTCAGAGGAATATGTGCAGCAAAGGTACAAACCACTGGATTGTGTTCTTTGGTGTTTAGAATCTAACACAATTTGTTCCATCTCAGTGTTTTCAATTATCCATTGACTCATCAAGATCTTGAAGTGGTGCTTTCTTTTAAAGACACCAGTAAGATATATACAAGCAGCTTCTTGCCTATACTTGTACAAACATGCAAATACACAAAACTTGAAAACAAGAACCCAGTTCAAAGATTGCAGGTCAGCCCCCAAAGAAATACATTTCATTTTTTCATTCCCCAGAACCAAATGAATACACACCAGTAAATTCAGAGATCTAATTAGAGTTCAATATTTGCAACTCAGTGGGTTAGTGGGTAAAGCACAGCTAGGACAGAAAACCACAAACTCAAAACTATAACTGAAAAGACTCAGTAAGTTGACTGCACAACACCTAAACATAATGTAATCATTTTAAACCACTCTGCAGCAATATTTTTTTTCAGATATGGCAACCAATGCCAAACCTGAGCCATCGAACCCTATGAGACCCATCAACCTTTTGGGACCCTTGGGCAAGTTTGGGAATTGCACCTAGAAAGCACCTGGTAGTCAAAAAAAATAAAATAAAATAAAAAATAGGTGCCATGCAGGTCTAGCTAATCAAAAGACAAGTAATCTAAGAAACTATGAACACCAAAGTCAACCCACATATTTGACCCCACAGAAGCTGAACAAAACACCTATTACAGATTGCAATCTTATGAGTGCTTAAATGAAACTCAATGAGTGTAACTCTGAATGGATGTTACACATCCTGTCTCCCCACACATACTTTCCCCTTACCTTTACTCAGGCTCAGTCTTGCGCTTCCCACCTGGTACTCCTACTTCCTCTTGTTATCAGAGCATGCTGTGTGTGTGTGTGTGTGTGTGTGTGTGTGTGTGTGTGTGTGTGTGTGTAAAAAGGGGGCTGGAAAGGAAGAAAAAGAGCAAGACTGGGGGCTGGAAGAAGGAAAAAGCCTGGAGGGGAGAAACAGCAAGGTAAAGACTTATATGGGGGAGAAATAAATACCAAGGTTAGCAGCTGGGAGAGAGAGGAAAGATCATCATAAAGGGGTAGAAAGGGGTGAAAAGATTGAAGGAGAGATAAACAGTTAATTGGGGAGAGGGTAAGAACACATAAAGGTGAAAGGGCTGTGAGAGTGGGAAATGACTGGGTGGGGCCAAGCAGCAACTCTTCCTGCACACAGAACTGATCAGTGGCATGCTCAGGAAAGGGCAGATAATGGGGAGCCCTAACATTTTTCTTTGCAATTGAAAGTAAACTTTGAAAGGAGAAGGAAGGGGAGAACTTCAAGGGAACCATCAGAAGTACTAGTGAGGCATATTGGGGCCCATGGGCACCCTGCTTTAAAACACTGCAAGAGAAGATGCTTTATCCCCCCTAACAGCCCTTCTACCCATGAGACATGGCTCCTGTTTCAGGATGGTTGGAGCCCTGGAACAGAGCATTTCTTTAGAGTGGGGCAGGCAACCTGGTACCCTCCAGATGTTTTGATCAATTTCCACAATCCTTAACCAATGGTCACACTGGCTGGGGTTGACCAGAGCTGTAACTTCAAGCATCTGGACAATGAATTGCCCATCTCTGTTTTAGAGTGGGAATTCACTGCAGTATTTTGTTACAAGTCCTGTTCGACATTAAGAGAAACCTTGTTAAAACAAATCCAAGATATAGCTAACCCAACACACTGCTTCCCAGAGTGGTCAAATAGATGGTTCCAGGTATCAACCTTCTCCTGCTGCTTCACACCAGCAGCTGGCATTCAGTGGTATACTGTCTCTGAACATGAAGGCTCCATACAGTAAGTTAACTAAACTAGGGATTGTCATACACTGTGGCAATTAGCTCCACAAATATCCATAGCTCTAAATATACAGTCAGAAGAATTTTCTTCCATCTGTCTAGAATCTACTATCAAGGAATTTCATGGAATGACCAAGTTCCAGCATTATGAACAATTCTGAAGTCTCACATTCTCCTTCTCACTGCCCCAGTGTTTCCTCATGAAGACGGTGCAGCAATCTTCCTATCGTTCTGGTTGTCCTTCTCCTGCTCTATAGATATTCTTCCCAAAATATGAAATTGAGAACTGCAAACTCTACCATAATATATGCTTTGAAAATACAGAAAAGGTTTTCTTTTCAATAAGTGAAGAGCCTTTTTACTTGAGGCTCATTTTGCCATAAAAGCATTACCAAACTGCCACCATTAGCTTTCATTAAAAGTCAATCCTTGTAGCTAAAACAAATCCTCAGTGTCCAGGCTGATGTTTGCTGTATGGTATATCAGCAACTCAGGAAGTTATACACGAAAAGCCAAAAAGAAAAATATATACTGTTTTGGGAAACCCCAAACAGGATTCCATATCAAAAGCAAACTTGGAATAGTGGTCTCTATGCTATCACGCACTGCCTGGGACTATTCTCAGTTAGCAGTAATAACTCATAAGTAAGTCCAAACCTTGAGTTTTCAGTAAGGATATATTTTATTTCATCTAAAATTTGTGGCTAGTACCCCAATTCAGAAAATTACAAGTGGCTTAGAATGTTGCATGCCCAGTGCTTCATCACATTTTTCACAGAGAAGAAGTCTTTCATGGCTCTAATGAATTATGAGACGAAAGTGGAATACTTCAATTCAATTGAGGTTCTGGTCTCCTTGATCTATCCAGCCATAAATCCTATTACTGTTATGAAGATGTCTGACCTCAATAGATGTGGTGTCTTGGCCCTATTTGTACTCCACAGAACAGATGTGATGGGCTTTTAAAGGAAACCTCTTACAATACTAATGTACAATAGTGCTGGCCCCTCCCACTTGCTAAACAGATCAGCTGCGGAATCCAAAGATTTTGCACCCAAACAGGATGCTATTATACTTCCAGTACAAGAAATCTATGTGCAGAACTGCCTGTCTGCATGCTGGTTAACATCACTGGATGAGAGACAAGAGTGACTAAGTCATGATTCTACAGCTACATTATATCATCTACATATAATATCAGCACTTACAATATAGTGTAAACCTACCTCCACTAAAAACAAAGTGCAAACTTATTTACTATATAACTTATTTAATGGAGATTTATGAAAATTCAGTTGCATGTTCAAATAAGTACTGCTTAAGTCTTTTACTTAATATAAAAACAAATTTCTATGCACATTTTACAACTGCAAAACACATTATAAAATAAGCAGATTTCAGAGAAACAGAACTAGACAAAGTGTGTGCTTGAGTATGTATCACATAAGCAAATAGAAGAGACACGTGGATTTCATTTCTAAATATATCTCAACGTTGAAAGAACAAAAGAGAACAAGCCCTCATTATAGTAAAACGCTGAGTAAGTGTGGAAAAATTCGACTTAATAGCAAGATCATGCTCTACTGGATGGATGCAACATTAGCTCTACCCGCCAAAGCATAAAGGCCAGTAAAATTTAACAAAAAGATGTCTGAGAATGCAGCCAATTCTGGGTCCTTCTATGTAAGCTGGTAGTTTATGGGTCGAATGTCATTGTAGTGGAATCCCTCCAGAACGCTGGAGAAATAAAAAAGATTGACAGCGACTAACCTGATGCGGGCTTGCTGGAAAAAAGACACAGATGGAAAAAAAGGAACCTCCTACTTCTACCTACGCTTTTCCACCTCACTCGTTGTCGTAGTAAATGGAGCAAGAGGTGCTCGAGAGTAAAGAAGGCTACACGAAGCCTAGCGTGAGGGGCTTCGCACATTCTGAAATACTGCCTACATACCCCATTCCTTAGGAAAAGGCGGGGGGGAGATGAAAGGCTCACAACTTTTGTCAAAGTGTCCAAGCTTGCCACCACTCCTTTCACACCCACATTATAGTCAGGATACCCGAATGCTTTGGTAAGCTTACATCTGAGCGTATTATTCATGTGGAGCAGGGGCAGAGAAGGGGCTGTTCGTATGATACAGAATTCACCGGACTAAAAAGGCCAGCACACACCCTCCCAAGACGCCTCCCCTCAGAAAGGCAGGGAAGAATGTGTCGGCATGCTCCAGAAGTCCCCCTCCCTCCGACCACCACCGTTTGCAACACGGAGCCTCCCTTGGCAAAAGCCACAGGGAGACACCGTCTCGCTTCCCCGGCGCGGGAGTGGGGGAAGGACGAACTTTATTCGCCGCGCTTCACAGAAATGCCCCTCAGTCCGATACCGCTATTCCCGCCCGACGCGCCGCGGACACGCACTCACCTTCCAGCAGCCTGGTGATAAGACTATCCACATTCAGCTCCCCGTCCGCCATTTTGTAGCCAATGAACTCAGTCCCGGGCGGGGACAGAGAGGGAGCTTCACCGGGAAGAAGACAGAAGAAAAGAAGGCGGCGGCGACTGGCAAATCAACAGCTCCCTGTGTGGGGCCTCCCGCCGGCGGCTCCGAGTCGCCCGAGCGCGGCACCCGAAAGCGCCCAGCCCAGCGGGGGTCTCCCTCTACTTTCTCCTTTCCCGGCTCCGCTGAACAGGGAGGGGGGAAGAGAAAGAGACGAAACTGAAGACCGCCAATCCTCCTCCTCCTCCTCCTCCTCCTCCCCACCCTCTTGCCTGCCTTAGGCCACGCCGCGCATGCGCCCCGCGTTCTTTCTATACTCCTCCCTCCCGCGCCTCTTGCCGCTGTTGCTTTTACTTCAACAACTGCGCGGGAGTATCGGGTTCGGCTCAGAGAGTCTGGTGTGCCGTCGGGCCCCCGCCTCCGAGGAAGGAGTGCGCAAGCGCAGCGAGAGCGAGCCTTGCTGTACTTCAGGAGTTCGCGTGGACGCGCACGTGCTTCAGCCCGCCTTCCTTTCTTCTCCTTCCTGGCTTGTGTATCCTGGTAACCGGGCTATGGGGCCTAGCGCTTAAATGCAGAGCAGGAGCGTTGCGCTGGCTTCTGTGCTCACCTGATGTGCTCACCTAAAAAGCATTTTTCTCTCCCCTCCCATGTTTCCTAGCAGCGTGTTTGGGGGGTGGGGAACGAAAGTTCCGCGTTGTTTTCAGGCGTTGATTTTAATCCACAGTTTTCCTTAGCCTTGCTTAATAATCACTAATCCAAACAGCTCCCTGCTGTCTGCAGTGTGGAAGCCCGCCTGCCTACTGACACCAGTTGTTGTAGGATTCCCGTGGGCAGCTGTTTGGCTGCTGTGTGAATAGAACGCTGGATTGATCCAGCTTGGTTCTTAGGTTCTTCTGTGCACCAGGTGCATGGTTAAACTGCGGAATTCATTGCTACAAGATACAGTGATGACTACCGATTTGGAGGGCTAGAGGTTGGACCGATTCATGGTGGAGAGGGCTATCGATGCCTTCTCCTGAGGGCAAGATGCTGCTTTCTAAGGGCAGAAAGTAGCATCCTGTTTAGTCCTGAGGGCAATATGCTACTTTCATTACCAAAGGCAACGTGCCTATATACCCCCCCATTGTTAGAGAACATGGGGTGGGGGTTGTTACACTCTTGCTGGTGGGCTTCCTGTGTACGGCTGTCTGGCCACTACATTAACAGCATGCTAAATGAGATGGACCTTTGTTCTGTCTGACATGGCTCTTATGTTCTTAATTTGTTTTGATCAGACACATATCTGAAAAGTGGGGGAAAGAGAACTGTATATTCTATATTTATATTATGTTCCAAGTAATATAAGTACTATTAGTTTAAAAACCAAGGGCCTTTTTTTTAGAAGGAGAGCACCTTGAAATATCAGAGGCTTTCCTTCTTGCCTCTGAAAAGTTACTTCCAGGTGAAACTGGCAGGATTAGATTGACAGGCACTCTGCATTTTTACAGGGGAAATAAATTTCCTCAGGAGAAAGGATTGACACACACTTAGTGATACCTCAAAATGTCAGATGTTGAAAAACTAGTAACCTTATTTTAATTTAATGCTTAACTAGGGAAATATGCTTTCTACTGAAGCCTGCACAGAAGCAATGATGTCTTACTCTAAAGCACTCTTCTGTTTTCAAGACCCATGAGAAATAGTATTCTGTGTATACTCAGTTACCCTCTAAAGGAATAGTGAGAAAAATGGACTCTTCAGTTTTAAAACACAATTGATTAGACAAACTATGTGTTCTAGTGAGTTTAATCTGAAACAATGTCCTGCAGTTACTATAACTAGACACATATCTCTAAATTAGAGGAATCTGGCAACTCTAGTGAACAATTTCTTTTTTTAGACCCCATGCCCTAATAATATCAAATGAAGATGAAATCCTATGCATATTAAGACAGAAAAAAGCTCTACAGCTTTCAGTGTTCCCAGCCAGCATAGGTAAGAGTTGTAAGACTTTTTTTTGCATCTAAGCATGCATAGGAGTGCAAATGTGCTGAATGATTGCAAGAGATGACAACAGATTTGGAACCTTCAAGTTTTGCTAATAGATTTGCTAAGTGACTGGTCTGGTGACATTCGGAAGCTAAATTCTCTTTTAAGTTTCACACACTAAGCCTATCCTTGAGTTAAGCTTGTTGGGCAAGATAGAATTGTTCTCAAGGTTGCAACTAGGTGAAACAGTGCAATCTGTGATCAGATCAGATCTTCACAATGTAGCTGTGAAAGCTCCAGAGCTGGGGGAGATACTTTAAAAATTAAAATTAACCCCATCCTGTGACACCATTTTCCTGATCTGCATCTCTTTCCTCCCCATCCGTTTTGTCTTCTATGTTGGGAAACTGGGCTTTTCACATATGAGTCTGGTTTGGTCCTAGATCTCCCAACATCTTTTTTCTTTTATAAAAAATAGCATCTGGAATTCATGTGATGGGATCAGGACCAGGGTATCCTGATCCAAGTTCTTCCTTCCCTCTCACTTTTGTTAGTGAATCCTGATGCCTGTATTTCATAATGCCTGGTCCACACCCTTGTCTTATTCTAGGGTTTCAGGGCAGTTTGTGAACAACCCAAGCTACCCACATTTGCTGGGTTTGGACTTCACAACAACCTATGTCAACTACAGTAATTAGAATGCTTGCAAGTGGTTCATGTGAAGATGAAAAATAAGCTACTGTGATTTATTTTCTCTTAGTGATGGTGCAAATCTATCTAGTGTCCCCAGAGAACTTTGTGCACAAGTGGGAAAACTTGAAGATGGACACATTTGTGAAAGGTATCTTGCACAAAGAGCCAATGCTCACAACACTGTAGGAATTAGGGTTGAAATTTTGTCCCTAGAGTCAAGCAACTTACGTAAGAATTCCAGCTACTAACTGCCAGCAGCAATCTTAATACCATTGCTGCCTGCAACTAGTCCTGAAAGGAAAAAACACTTCACTTATTGACTCATTTTTCCCTTGCAGGATCAAAGCCAGGGCACATGGAGAAGATAAACAGAAATTCCAACACAGACAGAAGCCTCCTATGTATGTATTGTCCTAAACTGCACATGTCATGGGGTGGGCCTTTGGGAGACAACAATAGTATCATTATGAGCCTGTCTTTTGACTGTTCCTGCACTTGGGTGGTTAGAGTGACAGAAGGATTACCAGATAAGCTGTAGCCATAACTGTTTGCATTGCTTCATTAGTTTTTATTTCAAGCAGCATTACAGTGGTATTGTCATGGCTGCTGGATGAGAATAAAGACCTCCACAATGCTACAGCCTAATTTAGTAATTGCCCTGTCAGTGACACTTATACATACTCATCTGTAAGGGCAAGAATAATACCTGTTTTCAATATTCCTTGAAAAAAAGTGATACTTTTTAAATTACCCCAATGAAGACATTGTCCTGGCATGATGAGAGAATGACTTTGCTACTGGTCCAAGACATCTTTGCACTTTTACTCAACTTCCTATGAATTCTTAGAGCTGTATTATGAACTGGATTGCACTTAGGTTCAAAACAGTTCACACACTCCTGTTGTAAATAAATGTAGAAAGAGCCTGTGCACATGTGGCATTTGGTATGCAGGTGCATGGCAACATGGAGGAATGCTCTTATAATCAGGTAGCTCAGAGACAAATGACTGCTGTTGCTCTGCAAGATTCACATCCGTGCTCAGTGAGGTTGTGCATCCACATTCGTAATTGCATGCATCTTTTTACCAGGGTTTCCATATATGATTTATTCTTTAGTCAAAAATACAGTGCTGCTGGTTAGTTGTGTAATGAATAGAACTGAATTGTAAAGAATAAATCAAGATAAGGAATGAGAGTAAGCAAGTTATACCAGCTGCACAAGCCAAGTTAAGAAGATATACATAATTCTACATAAACTTCTCTGGGAGTAGTTTACTTTTGAGTAAACATGCATGAAGTTAAGCAGTAAAATTGCTATAATAAATCAGTACAAACAAACCCAAGGCAAGGTTACAGCCCCACTCCAGTCTGTGTGCTCCCGCTCCATCCATCCACTTCTTAGGATATGACACCAATTAACTAAGCAGTGAATCACCACACTGTACCTGGAGCATATAAACCTTTACAAAGGAACACACCTCAGATATCAAGATGTGTAGGGAGGAATAGGTCATTCTGACCCCATGCATTGAAACAAAGAGCATACAAAAAGGAACTTGGCAATAGGAAGCTTTGTTGAAAGGGAGCACTTAGGTGGGAAAGGGGACACTTTGTAGAAACAGCAAAACCCAAAAAGGAAGGGGAGGCCAGGAAAGTGGGGAGAACAAAAGATGATAAAGGACATATGAGTAACCATTGCTTTAGAACTATTACAAGTGCTCTGTCTTAGGACTCGGGATATAAAGTTCCACAAAAAAAGTCTGAACCCCACTTTTATAACTGAGGCCACAAGGCCTAGACTTGTATCTATCAATAAGAAGCTGAAAGTAAGGCTTCAGAGGTAACTACAAAGGTCCAGAGGAGACTGAGAGCCTTATTGGCCGCCCCTCCTCTTCCTGATTCTCAGCTGGGTCATCACTTTCTACCAGAGCTGCTTCCTCCTCCTGAGTACAGTCTTCCTCCTGAATAAATCCCTGGCAACCAAATGGATGGTCCTGTAGCAACTCTAGACATCCTACTAGATTAACTGCCATCTTTACTCTTGAGAATTGAGGAGCAAATGAGGACAACTGGGGATCAAGGCAGGATATGAGATCAGGTATGAGGAGCGATTGAGGGGGCCTAAGAGAGGCATCCCTGAAATGAGACTCTTTAGGATACCTTTGAGTTCCTGCAGGCCTCTCCTGATCTTTGGGAGAGGGGTTTCCACTGAGTCTGAACTCTTCCTCTGTAGAAGTTTCTCCAGGATCTGGGTTGGATGGAAGCTGCACAGCTTGCAAAGGTGTAGGATAGGATATGCCTTTGAATAACCCTGATAGCTCCACTATGTGACATGATGGATTCACCATTCTGCCAGGGCGAGGTTTTATCCTGATACTAGCAAAGCACCTCCTGATGTATCCTTCTGTCTCTCATCCCTGATTTACTGCTGCTGCAATAAGCAGACATGGGCTGTACAGTTATATGAAAGATGAGCAACACTGTGCTAGAAAATGTTGTTCCTCAGACTGTTGGTTTACCGTGCCACTGATATGGCAGAATTGCTTTCAGATACCAGTGAAATAGTTTTCCCCACCTCTCCGGGTCTGCTTCTCCAAAAAAGAACTTGGTCCTTATAGGGACTTCCTCAACATTTCCTGTTTTATATTTGGTGCCTTGCTGCACAGACATATACCTGCTCAAAATGATAAATATTTTTCTA